CAGTCCTGACACTCCTGCAGACCAAGGTGCATCTTCTCCAAGCCATAGGCTGGCTTCTTCAATAGCTGTCAGCAGTTCCCACTTCCTCTTTGAGGCAGGCAGGCTGTAAACAGCACTGTAGCATCCAACTAGGAGAGCTCTCAGCTGGCTGATGGCGTAGGGTAGCCACAGCTACATGGCCAGAAACAGGCATGAGCTTAAACTTGCATGTATTTTCCAATCCAATTATCTATCCGAGAAAGCCAGCCTTCCCCAATGCAATGGTGAGATGGGCCAAAATGAGAGTTGCAAATCAGAGGTCTCAGATCTAAAAATCTCCCCATGGCGTTTTGCCACTGGATCCAAAGAAAAGGTCTCCAGGGTTCAGGATAATCCAGAGGGTAGTTCATGAAACTGGTCGATACTGACAATCTTCTACTAAATAAAGTTGATACCTAGTGGGAGTGCTGGCCAGATTTCAGAACTGTCTGATCTGAATGAAAACCTTCACCCCAAATGGCAGTCCAAATCTAAAAAGCCCTTCAAAGACCTCAGACTGATGGGAATTTATGAAAAATTAAATACAGGCCACAAAGTGAAAGAATTCGTTTAAGCCAAATCGCTTTCTCTGCAAGGAATTTATCATAGAAAAGGCTTTGAGTGAAATATTTTGATGGAATTAAAAAAAAACAAAACAATTTCTTATGAGGAACTTTCAAATGAATGTCAATTACTACTACTCCATTTTCAAATAAACACTTCAAAATGGACAAAGGACTTTGTTTTGTTAGAAGTGCAGTTACTAGGGCTGTTCCCAGGTTGACATTTGTAAACTCAAATTGCCCTTTACACCTGCATTGACACATACAATAATAGCAGGTAAGTTGTATTTCTATGACTGGAAACTATCTGCACAAAAGCAATGACCCATAAATTAAATGCCTAGGGAAGGAATAATGAATACTGCCATGCTCCCTTAGTGATGACAGGTATTAGTGGCACATAATTTGGCCAGACACACTAAAAAAAAAAATCCAAAACAAGCATAAAAAACCCACGCAAACCATCTCCATGGGTACATTTCTAGCTTTCTCTTGCCACTGGAGGGAAGAGCTAAGCGTGTAATGAAAGTGTGCACGAAGGAAAAAAAAAAAAAAAAAGCTGGTGGATTTTGGCATCTGGCTGTTTTAAGGAAAAGCGGTTTGTAGAAACACATACCCAGGAATAACTCCCATTCTCAATGGCTTGTAGAGAGGCAAAGCAGACATTCGTTAAACTCAAGTAAGACTTTTGTATCTCCTGAAAACAATCACTAAAAATTCACAAAAGGTGCCGATTGACTTTCAGCCACGAGTTTTGTTCAAAGCACTTCCCATGGTACAGAGGAGCTCACTCTGCCAAAGCAGCCCACCAGGCACCCTCTGGTACCCGAAAGCTGTGGCAGTGCTTACCAACGTGGCACGGAAGCACAGGGACCACCACGCGCTGGCCAGCACAGGAAGTATTTATAGATATTGGGATCTGACCAAAGCACTTCAAGATGAAATATTTCTCATTAGAAAGTACCACAGGATCTTTAATGCCCACGAGTGGTCAGGAGCTGGTTTTCCAGCACGTCTGGTTTAGCTGTTTGGTATGATCACACACCTCACAACCTTTAGTGCATTAATATTCTCCAACGTTTCTTTAAGCAAGCAAAATATTTCCTACCCTTTGCAGGAGAAAAAACGAGGTACGGAGGCACACCAGAAGTTTCTGGTAGAGCAAAGAACTGAACCTAGCTGTCTCCCAACCCACTCATTCTGAGCCACACTTCTCCATCCCCAAGACACCACCTTTAATCCAAGGGTGCTGGCTTCTGTACACGAGATAGGGACAAAGGGGAATTTTTCTTTTCCATAGCTCTGCATTTTTATCCTATTTATATCTTCATTCTGCAGGGCCAGGCTGTGCGGTGGACAAGCCAGCAGAATTGGAGGGCACATTTCTACAGCGCATTATTCAGTGCCTTCGCGTTGGTCTGCACATGTAGCCGTGTGAATGAGCGAAGGTTGCAAAATGTATTTTGCCTGGGGCAGTGAAATAGCTGAGGCCAACCTTGTCATTCTGTTTCACTCACTCTTTTCCTACCCTATCTCTATCTTGGTTTTTCCTTTTCTTTCTCTCTTTGTTGTCTTGGTTACATGGGCAGATTCCTGATATGCTGCTAGTTTTCATCTTAATGATATGTTCCTGTAAAGCACAATATTTTACTTCAGTTGCGTGTGCCACTGGATAAATTCCTTTGACATATGTGACATTTGTATATCAACTAACAGCTATTGCTTTATGACTGTGGGTATTTTGCAGAGTATTCACGGATTGCATACATCAAAATCTGATGTACAGTCTGCCACTTTCATATAAAAACACACACGCAGAGAAAAAGACTGAAACTGCAGCAAAAAGAAGGAAAGTTTCTCCAAAACCATCTTGTAATTACTTCCAGCAAGTCTTCCAACAACTGAGGAAATTCTGCTATCTTGAAGATAATCTCATAACTCCTCTCTTCATGCTATCCAAAATACTACTCTGTAGCTTGACCAAGTAGCTGCACTGCACCAGGAGAAATAGGAATCAGCAAGCAGAAAAAAAAAACAAAGACAGTTCCTGGGCTTCGTCCACTGGTACATGGAGATTCATTTAATCCTACAAAACTTTTTCCAATTTACCCATAGTCTTTTTTTTTTTTTTTTTTAATCATAAATCAAACTTCATGCTAATGTAATGGATTATCCTGGAGTTGCAATACCAATGCAGTATTTCCCTTTCTTCCAATTCAAAAGCACCTGATTGATGAGTCAAGATGGAAAACAAAGATTCAAAAGGCCCATGAAATCTTGGCAGGGGAAGCGTCAAGTGAAAACCCCGAGTGCCAAACTGGCCTTGTGTGGCACCCAGAGGGTAAAACAGGCTGGTGTCCTGAGCTCAGATAGCCTCAGGAGGCCTAGATGAGGGCAGTACATGGAGGAGAGGCAAGGATGGGGTTGAACCTGCAGGAACTGAAGGTTTCCAGAAGCCTGGATCAACTGGTCCAGAACCACCACACATGTTCAGGGGAGCCCCTCTGCATTCTGCCCCGTTGGTGAAAACTTATTCAGCCGAGGAGGATTTCATCCTGAGACTCCTATACATGGACCCAGTGCAATAACTACCGCCGGCAGAATATTCAGCACATTAGGAAAATGGGAATAAAAAGGAAGCTTTCTCAAATTACATCAGCCAGTTCAGCTCGTCTCTTCTCATTCTTTACCCTATAAGGCTGTCCCCACTTTCAACCACACTCCGTAAAGCACTAAAAGCTTTCTCTCTTATTTTCCCCTATTAAAAGGGATCAGATCTTGGGTTCTGCAATGTGACCTGCAAAAACAAAGACAGAGCTACTTCTGAGTTTGCTTCTCCTGACGCCAAAAAAAAAAAAAAACAAACAAAAAAAAACTTGTGAGTGCAGGGAAGCAGCAGTCATTCTTAACTGTTTAGGTCTTTTGGATATTTACCATTCAGATCTCAGCTACCCCATTTTCCCCCCCAAGAGACTGACTGGAGAACTAAACAGTTTATTATGATATCACACATGACAGGGAAGCAAAACCTAATTAGTCAGGGGAGGAGATTATTTTTATTACAACTGCTTAAAAAACAGTTTGGCTCCTTTGCCACATGCCTGAATAGACTGTTTAAAAAAAAAAATAAATTCTCTTGTCAAAAGCATCAGCAGCTTCTCCTCTGTTGAACAAAGCCAGAGACATTTGCCAGTGGGCAAGACCCTGTTCCCCTTGCTCACTCAGCACTGGGGCAACACCATCTGAATTTACAGCCCTGACTTCTTTTTTTTTTTTTTAAGTGAAGAAACAAGTAGAGGAACAAACCCAGAGTTTTCAGAGCTTCTTTAAGTATCTGTGAGAAAATTACTCCCTGTCTTCCCCCTGCATGCTCTGTCCATCCTACACACAAGCCAGAGAGGGTCACCTTTTCATAGCATCATTCTCTCCCCAGGTTGGAAGCTTTTATTTGCAAAAAGAATCCAAAGACAAAATCAACAACAATCCAACCCCCAAGACTCTGCCCAACCTCCCTTCCCAGCTTCTCACCCACCTCCATTATTATGGCAAAGCCACAGTCTCCTTGCACATACAATATTTTGCAACACTCCTGGGCTGAGCATTCAGACAAACGTTGTCAGATGAGCACAGAGGGGTTAAAATGGAGACAGTGCCCATCCTTAGCATGCGAAGGTCATTTTTAATACCTCTTTTTGCCTTGAGAAAACCACAGGTAGATGATTCCCAGCTTTCACCTCTCAAGTCTCTCTACTAATGCCTTACATGGCAAACTACAGAGCTACAGCCACGCAACAGGCGTATTTTTAGTGAGCATGCAAGTGAGGAACATAAATACACTCTTTATTGTATTTGGGTTTCTGTGGCGTCAACCATAAACATAATGCTCATTATCGTTCAAGACACAGCTTTCTTTTGATGAAAACGCTCTTCCTTCAGTACAAGCACCCAGACTGACCTAAACAGAGCAACCGCTAATCCCATCCAGAGCTCGTGGTGAAATCAGAGTCCAGTCACATTGCTCTGAAGAAATATGTCCAGAGCATTTCTTAACAAACTTCAGCCACAGACATTCTTTTTTTTTTTCCAGCAAGCATAGATACCCTGTGATCAACTACTTAATTAGAGATGGTCTGAACACACAAAAAAAAAACCTGTTGGATGTAAACTGCATCAAGCCCATCTGTGGCTGGGTCTGTGGTTTGACTTCAGAAACATTCATTTGCCAGTGAACAACAATTCAGAAGAAGGATTTTATCCTTCTAACATCACCCTCAAGGGACACAGTTTTTTTGCCAAGCAGAACATTTTCTATCCTCAAAAAAAGCGATGCACCTTAGGATTGCACTCACACTCAATGCAACACTGCAATTCTCCAGAAGAACGTGAAAATCTGAGTTAAAGGACCACATTAGGTCTTACCTTCTTGAGCTTCCCACTCTTGGTGCCCACAAAAGCCAGGGAGTGGTTCTTGTAGACGTAAGCAATCACAGATGTCATTCTGTCTCCATCCTCGGTGAAAATGGGGAGCCCTCGCACCATGGACGATACTCCCAAGGGGGCATTCATATCCAAGCCACAGAAATTGTCATCAATTGTTAACAGCTATAAACAAAAAGAAAAAGAGTATAAAAAATGAAGCCACTGATTCTTTAGCCACTTGGGAAGTATCCACACAAGCAGGGACACCGTTGTATAACATGCCTATAATTTATGCAGGCTGACAAATCAGTGACAAAGGCAGGACCAGAGAAATACAGAGGTGGAAAAAATTTGTCCAAAGTTGCATGATGAGTAACAGACAGAAAGAGAACTGGAAACTTGCTTCTCTTGAATGACAGCCCAGCAGGATACATTACGTTAAGCCTTTTTCCTACTGCTTTACCAGTCACTTTTACCAGTCAAGGCCTAGCAATCAAAGACAAAGTCTGCTGAAAATGTTTTAAACATATCTAGTTCTGTCAAAAAAAATGTATGCACATCATTCCCATGGGATCCAGAATAAGAACCACGGAGCTAGCTCCGCACTGGCAAATAAAATAGACCCTGGCCTGCCCTTTGGCACTGAGACCCAATAGTAAGGTTCACATCTATGAAACCTAAATAACCACTCCCCTCCCACCTCCAAACCCTGTAGTATCACTCACGTTACATCCTGGGAATTATATTCCCCCAAGGCATGTCAATGCATTGTCTGGGAGAGAGTTGGTCAGCCCAGGCCAAATCTGCAGAAGGGATCATGCTAAGGCTTAAATACCATAGATGGTGACTGCACACACTTCCCATTCCTAGGATTAGTTTGATTATTTAGTCCTGGGTCCTTCTCTCATACTGTTTGTCCTGGGCACTTCATCCTCATGAAGTGGAGATTATTCACGTTACTGGAGTCCTGTAACTCACTGAGGTTCTTTGGAGAGGAGGGAAAGTTTCACAGCTATTATGAGAGCTTTCCAGTATTTGTTTGGCATACCCATGAACTCCTAACAACCAGACCTTAGCCTCATCAGTGCTGATGCCTAAGCCCTAACACCTATTGCATTTGAACTCAACAGGCGTGTCGTCAGACAGATGCTCTACTGGGATCCTTGTGTATGGATCCACATAGTGTCTAGTCACCTTCAGAAATAACCCTCAAGGGTGTTTCTTTGGGCTTCAGGGAGTTACAGAAGTGCAGCAGCAGAACAGTATAGACAACTCTTCTACCTTAAGCACCATCAGGACAGTAGGTGAAGCTAATACAGGTTGCCAATATGATGATCTCCACAGAATAAGCCAAATAAAGATGAAGCTCCAAATATGACAGCACACAATTGCCAAAGCAGTTAGACTTTATTAACTTCACTGGGACCACTCACAGATTTGAAGTTAAGCATCCGCTTAAAATGGTTTGCTGGACTAAGGCCTAAAAACGTAATAATTAATTGTACAGGAAGATTTGCGTAGTTTTCATGTATCAGTAATAAAGGACCATGACAATTTTCTTTGTCTGAGCTCACATCTTCCTGGAAGCATGGCTAGAATATGTGCTGCTCTTTACTTCAGTTCACGAGCAGTAAAAGCCTAATAGTTGATTCATTTTATCCTCACCCAGCAATTACAGGGAATAATTACAGATGGTTTTACTGAATGGAAGAATAATTTGTCCTAAATGTATTTATAAACACATAAAACCTATGAGGGATTCAAACAGCCATTAGTAAAGAACAGCTAGCCTGAGCTCTGGCCTGCAAGAGTCATTAGTGTTTGTGGATTGCCCTTTCAGATCTAAAACACCAGCTCAAAGAGCAATTATAGATCAGATCAACAGCCTCCATGAGCAGCAGACAGGATGCTGCTAGTCTGCAATGCCAGCACAAAGTCTAAAATAAATCTGCATCCCAGTTTCAAAGGCCAAATTCATCCAAGGTCTAGTACCACCAAGCTGATGACCACACTTCAGAGAAGGAGGACACCCCTGCTCACAGCATGACTTGCAAAAACTAAGTGTTTCTGTGGATAACGAGAACATGCACAGCTTCATTAGATAGGTCAGGATGGAAAAAGTGCAATTTGATTACTCAGGAAGTACAAGTGTGTTTGAAGCAGCAACGCTACCACAGATCCTTCTGCAAGACATGAGACACTGTCAGCGATGAGCTAAAAAGAGGAGCAGTTGTTGGTCTGATGCAGCATGACAAGCCTTCTGTTCGCTTCTGTCACTACCCAACACCTGGTGTGGGAGCCATCTCCCCTAGCTTTAGCCATCTGAAATCTTAGTAAGTTGCCTACAGTAATCACCTAAACTACCTCCGTAATCAACAGAGAAAAGGAGGTATGTCAGAGAACAAGCCATCCAGACAAACTGGTAACGCACCGGATCACCTTCCGATAGAGTCACCTGATTTCAAAAGGACTCCAGATGATTCGTTCAGCCTAAGCATCTCACATTAAGATGTATCATGCTTTGGAACAGGAGGCTGCACTACATGAGCTCTTAAGGTCCCTTCCAACTTGAACTGTCCTATAGATGTAGGCTCTGAAAACAATTCAAGTCTTGAAGTCAGGCCCAGTTTGACCTGTAACTCTTAAGCTCTCAAATGAAGATGATCCATGTTTAAAGGCTGTTATAAAACTGTGTGTGTCTCACTCAAACTGACAAGCTGAGAGAAGAATCATTTCAGACTGAAAGCAAGAAATTCACAAACCTCCTACAAATGGCAGAAAGAGGGGCAAGGGAAGAAAGTCCGGCTTTATCACTGTTTTAAAGGAAAACAAGAAATAGGAAACTGCTTTCTTCACCACCAAAAGGATAAAAAGCTTAATGGTGCTAGCAGACATCTTACCTAGGTTGCAGTGTATGAAGCTCCATCCGAAACAACAGGAAATTACACCGACAAGCAGTGAAGTGATAGCAATCAAGCAGAGCTGGCACAGTCAGAGGCATCCTCCTTGGTGCAACACAACCTCCCACATGCTCCCCTCTCTGTAGCACAGCCAAAACCAGTACTCCAGCTGAAGCACTTGGAGACCAGGAAGGACCCGTACAATCATCTGGTCCGTCTTCCTGCATGACCCAGGACCTCAAATCTCAGGCAAGGAGCTGCCTGTGCTGTTTCTCAGGGAGGTACAAGCTACTTCTGTTTGCTACCCCAGGCAGGTCTAAGACTACATGGATGTAAGGATATAGCGCTGAGCCCTCTGTAACACACTCTATCAGCAGCCAGGATGTGTTAGCTAGAATATACAATTGCTGTAGATCTATATCAAAGCTCACATAGCCAGAGTAAGCTCTCATCCTCCTGCAAAACCCTAAGAGGATATAGACTGAGATCCCAGCATCCAGCACAATAACCTGCAGCTGATCTGCAACACATCTCCAACCTGTTGAAACTTAATCAGTCTGATTGCTACAGGTTAGTTCCTCTTCCTTCAGACTGGGCCCAGCTCCAGCTGAACTTAGACCTACCCTTAATGGTGCTGATATCATGGTATTCCCCCATGCAGACACAAAACTAAATTTCCCTGAGATTATTTACAGAATGACACATCCTTATAAGATAGAGACAGACTTTTTAAGCAGGGGCTGTAGCAATAGGACAGGGAGTAATGGTTTTAAACTAAAAGAATGACATAGCACTGAGGGATATGGTAGAGTTAAGAACAGTCACTGTTAGGTTAATGGTTGGACTAGACGATCTTCAAGGTCTTTTCCAACCTAGATGATTCGGTGATTCTGTGAATGTAGGTTCAGTCATTCATAAGGAAGACATTTTTTATGATAAGGGTGGTGAAACCCTGGAACAGTTGCCCAGAGCAGCTGTAGATACCCCACCCTTGGAAACATTCAAGGTCAGGCTGGACAGAACTCCGAACAACCTGATCTAGGTGAAGATGTCCCTGCTTATTGCAGGGTGGTTGGACTAGATGACCTTTAAGGGTCCCTTCCAACCCATTTTATGGTCCAAGCACCAGGGCAAGGCTGAAGAGTGAAATCAGCACTTTCTCTTACATGACCCAGTTCAGATGAGATCTGGGACCATCACAGCACACCATAGCCAGTGAGACATGCAAAGTGCTGTGTGAGGACAGATAAGGCCATGATGTTCACTCACACGCTGTTACGTGGGTGCCAGAGAAGCAATTGCAGAATTGTGATTTGCAATGCAGACAACTGTCCCTCAAGAATAGGAGCAAGGCCAGCAAGCCACACACCACATGAAAACTATTTTCATTTAACATATTTGGGTTATTTCCTCTGGGGATCATCTGCAAAAAATGCCAGCAAGCAAAACCCTACAAATAAATATCACCCGGCTTCTGTGCAGCTGTGGCTCTCAGCTGCACACATGCCTTTGTAAAGGCAGAAATACAGTCATCTTCTTCAGCAAAGAGAAACACGTAAGGAAGTTTGGATTTATGATGAAAGGGTCAGGAGTTGCAGGCATAGGTTTATTTTCAATTCCAGACACTCCTAGCAGCAATATAAAGTAGCCACGTTAAACTCTCTGGAGCTTCTCTGCCTGGCAATTTCACGTTAACGACTTTCCAGAATGAAAGCGGAGGTGAGGACGTGAATTCGCTCTGCTTGCAACACTGCTGCCACACCAGCTGGATATCAGGGAGGGGCAAAGGGAAGATCTGAAGATGCAGGAATAGGATCAGCATCCTGAGCAGATAAAATCTAACCCAGAAATTCATGGCACAGTCTGTAGGTAACTTGGAAGGGAAGGGGGGGCCTTGTGGTTGAGATGCTGGACTGGAGTCAATCAGTTCATCATCCCACACCAAGTTCCCACCTGCAAAAGAGGCAATATTAGTCACCACCTCTCTGCCCCAGGAAAGCTGGTAAACACAGGTTTACAAGGTGCTCTACATATCCAAAATATCTTCATGTGAGAATGGTTGGCAGCTCCCAGAGCATAAATGCCTTCCCAAGTCCCACCAGCTGCCTCTCCATTTTGGGCTGATGTGCAGGGGGGAGCCACCTGGTGAGAGGCCACAGTCTGTTCCTGCTGCCACGCCTTGCATTGGCAACCAGAGGGTTCATCTCCAGCCGTGACATCATGGCCAAGAGTCACCAGTGAAATAGGAAGGATGTGCAAAAGAATGGGCCTGATTTACAGGAG